GAAGTCAGAACTCTGACATAAATAAAAATGGGTATGACAAATAATTATTGGTCATCCTTATTTGATTGTTTTTGCATGGCTTTTGTCCTTCACTCTACAGGGTTTTCACAAGAAAATGTTCTTCGTTGGCAGTTGAAGGTGCTTAGTACATCCATGCACTCTTGATTATTTCGGAATATGAAAGACTAACTGCTAGCTCCTCCACCACGCTTGTAGCATGGTAATCTTGCAAGCCTACAGTTTCCTCTCCCCTACTGTTGACTCTGTGAAGTTTAGGATTTTTACGCAAGAAATGGCGTCGGCACATTCGATAAACCGTTCAAATTAGTTCGGCGTTAACATCCACAAGTGGCGTTTTGTTTGTGCAATCATTTAATTTCTACTCGCATTTGGCTTCTCCTAGAGCCTTTTTTACAGCAGTCTGCATGGACAGTTCAGAACATTTTCCTGCAAAATGCATATTTATTAAACCATTGAGACCCAATTTGAATCACTGACGTGCTAATCCGTTTGAATATAGGCTTCATCCATCTCCTGAAAAATCGACCTAGAATTACGCCAGGACGTTCTTATTTGCCACAATGGGATTCTTCCATCTTATCAATTGCCTTGTCCTGGCGACAGGACCGCACATAATTTTGTACAAAACATGCGGGATGTAAGCAGTTTACTTTTCATATTACTTGCTAGGAAGGAGCATGATGCCTTCTGGCGGTGCTTCAAAGTCCTCCTTCTTTATGGATTCACACAACTTTTACGAATCTTCCTGGCAACTCTTGTCCATATCAACTTTAACATGGCATCTCAAGCCGGACTCCTTAACTACGTATGTTCTTGCCTTTCGTCATTGTATAGGAAATGCTGGGAATCGTTTTGAATTTCCTTGCTGTTCGTTTAGTGTTTTGTTACCTCATCGGCAGAAGCGAGCTGGCTGTATTTATTGGTTGTATCGGCTGGTCTTTCGGAGATCTTGTTTTTACAAAGCAAGTTCAAATTTTCGGATAATCGCTTTTAGGTACATCCCGATTTGGGTTGGAACCAAAGATCTTGAATTCGACTGGGCTTACTTGAGTCTCAGCTTTGATGCAAACATCGACTTGGTTTGTTCATTTGGGAAATTTGCCTCTATCAATTCAGATATTCCACTTCATTATCTTTTTTATGCCTTGGCTGCTTATGCGTAAAGAAAAAAATGCACCTGCTGCGCTTCTTGCCATTATCTCGTTCGTACTGGCATCGTTCCGTCTTTCAATCTTTGGGTAAGTCCATTCTTTGGTTAATCCGTAAAAATTATTCTTTCATTTATCGTCAAAGTGTTTATGGTTCGTTAATAATTCCCAGTTAGGATTTACTATTCTGAACTTAAATATTAGCTTTCCGGGGTTTCACTACTGACAGCAGCTAGTATTAACTAAGAAATAGCTTTGTAATTAGTTTGGAACGGCTCTACACGATACGTTTCCACTGTGGATGATTACCCGGTTGGAATGCCCTGTCATGCAACGTATAACGTTATTT